TCGCTGAGAATTAAAATAGTCTTGTGTTTATTTTGCAATTTTTGATTGTTTATTGTGTAAAGTTTTGAAAAAAAACTTTTTTTCTATGAATAAAGGTTCACTTCTATATAAATAGGGATATGACCTATAGGGCCGGGATTGGTATTTCGTTTACAAAAAGCTTGTCGATTTCCGTTCCTGTTAATTACTTTAGGCTAAATGCATGAAATAATTTGTTTTCTAAAAATCATTATTTCAGTAAGTTGAGGTAGTAGGAACCCTTCATAGACATGAACTATGTAGCATGATATTGTCAACGCATTCTGAGTTTGTTATCTCGAAATTATATAATTGATAATTTTCTTCACTTCTAATTGTACATAATGTAATGTCTACAGTCTCAGTTCTATTCTTGGTGTGTATTTATCTAACAACATATTTAATTTCCATGGATATAATAAAGACATGCCATTAATGTATGCAAATTATATAAATGAAATCCAAGGGAGTGCAATAACTAATATGTAGCGCTACTGTTTCAAAACTCAAGATCCGAGTTTAGAACATTGACTAAGTACAAAAGTACATGTATGTTATACCAAATTAATATATTAAGCTCAAATAATTCAAGCAATACATAACATATTAACCCAGACAAGCACTAGCTATAGTAGTAAAAACGGAAAAAAAGCAATGTGATTAAATTCTAATTAATGAATACAATCAAAATCCATCGCAGCTCATTGCAGCCGAGAATACCTGTATCGAGTAGGTCATATCGAGTAACAAAGAGTGATTTATTTTTGTCCTCAAAGGAAATGTGCTATACTGAGGTGCAGTTCCGCTTGACTGTGTTTTAGGTACATTGAAATGTTACGATTTGCTCTCTCCCTAGTGTTTCTTATATCAAGAATGGACATGCATAAAGGATAGATAATTGAAGGAAAATACACAAGCCTGTTAAAAAAATTCAAATAGTCTTTGAAAAGGCGAGAATTTAAAACATTAAAAATGTGGCACCAGGTGGATTCGAAACCTGGACTTAAAAAAAGTACCTACGGTGTGAATAGTCAACACTTATATCAATTGAGTCATTCTGACTTTCGTAAGACATTGTATAAATGTGACGCAGATTGTCAAAATCAGGTTTCCTTATTTTTTTGTTGGGTTTTTTGTGAATTTCGACCCTAGGGCAGGGGTGCCCCTAAAAAAAATCCTACCTTAAATTATTCCTTACATCCCAACCTATCGAAATATCACAAATTTATTTAGGGGCAGACCTGCCCTGAAGGACTTCTAGGACAAAATTCATGCAAAATTCGACGCTTTAACGGACAAAATGTTGTTTTTGCCAACTTTGGAGGTTTATTCTAAAGTTGTAAATAATAAATTTTAAGTGCAAAATACAAATTTGAAAAAAATTAGACATATATACGGTAGAAAACAAGTAATAAACAAGGATCTTTAAATGTATTTTTTTCCGGGAATTTGTTCTCTCCGTTAGGTTAATTCTTTTGATATTATGAATACATCCTTTAATTTTTAAAAGTTCACGTTTTTTTTTAATAAGTTTATCGATTTAATTATTTATTTTTTGGCAAAAATACTTGAAAATGTTTATTTTTTCCTTATTAACTTGTTCAGTGCTGTACTGAATTGAGCTGGACATGACTCCTGTTCATGCAGGAAAAGAGATGGAAACGATGGAATGACACAAACACGTGTCTAGGACATCATTTTATACCTGATATCAGTAATACCTTTTCCAAAAGCCTGCCTGACTAAGAAATTAATATCTATAGAACATAAAATCATGATCTGAAATAAATACTTCCGTCCATTTGGGGGGGGGGGGGGGGGGGGGTCGAAATATTTCATTACTTTACATTTTGAATACCAGAGTACTTTATACAAAATATGTTTTTTGTGTCGCCTGCAGAGGACCACTTTACCCGGCGTCTGTCTGTCTGTTCGCTTGTAACACCTTATATCTCGAGAACTGTAAGAGGTATGTATTTGATATTTCGCACATATAGTGCATAGCACTATGGCGTTTGTAAATTACCATGGTTACCGATCTCGTAACCTTTGATCTTGATCTTGACATTTGACCTACTTTTGAAAATAATTCATAGTGCCGATATACAGCATATTTTTGACATTTAAGAGGTAATATTATGCTATTTAGCAAGTGCACTCTATGTCATAAATAATATGAAAAGATACTAGCATTACAGTCCACTTGACCTTTGACCTACTTTGCAAAAAATACCCCGGGCAGTTTAATTTAACTTATGATTTTTGAATTTTGAGAGGCATGGTTTTGTGAATTTGCATTTATACATGTTTATGAGCCTTTGAAACTTTATGATATTCAATAAAACACATACTTATAACTAAATATGAAAATACATCGGGATTAGTATTCCATAATGGCATTAAAGACAGATTGAAATCTATTACAAAGGAATGTTGGAAACACATATTAATAAAATGATAAATAGTTATTCCCAATAATTTCAACTTAATTATTCACTTGAGGGTGGTGGAACCATATTTTCTTTGATTGTCAGATTCTACCGCACTCTTATACCATCCATGGATGTTTTTTTTAGCTCACCTCGACAAAGTCTTCACCTCTTCGAATGCTGGATATGACCCACATTTTCCAGATGAGTTTTTGGAGCAGGACTATTCCCAAGTAACTATTTGCCCTACCTGGACCAAACTTACACGGATGATGCATCTAGGAATGGACACTACCACACTTGGTTCGGATGCTGGATCTGACCCACATTTTCCAGATGAGTGTCCAAGTAAGTGTAACCGTACCTGGACCAAAATTACATGGATGATGTATCTAGGAATGGACCCTAACAGACTTGTTTCGGATGCTGGATCTGACCTACATTTTTCAGATGAGAAACCGGGTTAAAATTTTTGGGGCAGGTCCATTCCCAAGTATCTATATGCCCTACCTCCACCAAACATACATGGATGATGCATCTAGGGGTGTGCACTACCAAACTTGCTTCGGATGCAGGATCTGACCTACATTTTCTAGATGAGTGACCAGGTTAGAGTTTTTGGAGCAGGTCCATTTCCAAGTAACTATATGCCCTCCCTGGACCAAACTTAATTGATGATGCACCTAGGGATGGACACTACCAAACTTGCTTCGGATGCTGGATCTGACCCACATTTTCCAGATGAGGTTGTGGAGCAGATCAATTCCAAAGTATCTAATTACCAGACCCTTTTGTGTCTTTTATTTGGAGTTTACTTGGATATATCGCGTCAACAAATGAATGAAAATTTATTTAATCGATTAAACGTCGTCTATGTATCGAAATAATTCAAGCAAATATCGAAGATAGATATCAAAATATGATAGGTTTGTATGTTTGCTTTATTTATTTAGGATTTCAATAGTTTCTAAAAATCTACAAATTGGACAACTTACTTTGTAAATATGGACTAATGAAAAAGAAAATTGTTTGTAATTCTGCTCATGAATAAACATAATTTTTACAAATAGGCGTAACTTATTCTCGAGTCTTATATGGGGAGTGCTTAGTACAGTGTACTTAACAAATGCCCAAAGAACATAAACACTCATTGAAATGGTTTTGTTTCTAATATTTTATATTGTATAATAGGAGCTTCAAAGGAAATCATTTATCTCCCTGAGTAGTAGGTAATAAGGAAACTAAACTTTTGTGCCCATTAACAGTAAAGGGGATGCATGTAAAATCTTCAGAGGAGGAAGATAAAAAAGGGAAACATGTATACAAAATTTTCCAAGGTAAAACTTCTTAAAGACAAAAAAATCACCAAAAACCACAACGAAAGATGCGAAATCTGAAAATGTGACTGTATCGGATAAAAGTAGGAACCAAAAAAAAAAACACAAAAAATTATCTCTTTTTTTCTTAATACTTATTAAGAAAAAAAGAGTTAATTTTTCTGAGAAATTGGACATGTAATTATAAATGTCAACACAGGCAGATCAGTGTACTATAATCCTCTTCCTAGCTAGATTAAATATATATATATATATATATATATATATATATATATATATATATATATATATATATATATATATATATATAGAAGTACTTTTTACGCGTGGTATTAATTTCCGCTATGTACGCAGTCAATAATATTCAGCGGAAATTTCACCCAGCGTGCTTAACACACATTCAAGGCTCTAGCGGCAATCTTAGAAATCTGGGTAATTTTTCTACTGTGGATTGAACATAAATTATGATTTCGCGGAATATGACCCTTTGGAAAATTAGAGTGTTCCAAGGAACGCACATGTGTCGCCTGTTTTGTAGCTTCATTAAAGATGTAAATAAATCTAACTGTAGTAAGCTATTTATTAACTACTTATATGATAGTTCATGCAGAAAAATGCATAAAAAATATTATTCCCAACCCTAAAATAAATAATTAAATTAAATTTATTAAAATTAATTATTTATCATTTTACATGTATTAATACGTGTTTCAAAGTCTTTACTCCAATTGTCAGTCTACACGATGCAGGAGGATAAAAGGTAGGCTCAACTAGGACCTCGGTTCATCCGCCAATAGTTCGTCGTTTTGCTTAGTAATAAAATATTATATGAACTCTTCAGGCATTAAAGGCACAAAAGTAAAATCATCTATATTAATACGGTGACCGTAATAAAAAAAAATCGGCTTTTATATAGCGTGTATTTCCTTAAGCTCTCGAAACTGATTCGATCCACTCTGAAGACAGTTTCAATCGCAAGGTATATCAAATGATAATGATGCTGGTATTCTTATTAAAGCATTGACTTATGGCAGTTCATAAAAGGAATTTCAAGCAACAGCTTCTGGAGGCGAATTGAAATTATCTCTCTTTATCGTTCTTTAAGAACTCACACCTCTTAAAATCTTTAAATTTTACAAACCTGTCTTGATAAATACAATAGAATTTGCTAATTTTTGCTAAATGCTTATTAATGCTAATTAAATTGAACACCAACCTCGCCTTGAACATCCTCTATCGTCTCCTTTTATTAGCCAACTAATGCATGAAACATCAACAAGTAAGGCACACGTGGGTAGGAAAATCTGGAAATATAGTTGATTAGTTTTTGCAGTACTTTTCTAAATAGTTATAATTAAAAAATCAAAACATTTTTTACACGGAGAATAAAATTTTAGGACATGAGTTTAAAATGTTATCATATAACATGGTTGGGAGTAGTATACGCCGCTCTAAATCCTGATACATTCTGATAAATTGATATACAAAAAATAATGCATGTAAAATTTAATTCGAAAACTTACAGTAAAGAAATGCATCGTGGTTGTCGGAAAGTTGAGTATTTGAAGAATTATTAATATATATAAATATACTTTGATAATTGGAATCATTCCAAGTGCTTACATTTGACATAAATTTTCCGAATTTCTCCGGGTTGCTTTACATGTCCTTTGAAAACATTCCACCGGTGATTGGTGATTGGGGAATGATAAAAAATATCAAAGGATCGTAAAACAAACAAACAACAAAAATAAAGTAATTTAGTACCTACTTTTTCTGTCAAGAAAGTAACAAAAAACTTGAAAAAATAAAAGTTGCCACTTCTCTGTAAGTTTTTATACTACACTTGTTTTTATATGACAACAACATATACTTTCACCAAATTAGTACATGTTTTTATTATATATTCAATCATCAGTACTATAAAACTAAATAAAATGGATGAATAAACAGGTAAAAATTTTGATAAATGCATACATGTTGTGCACATTCTTATAAAATTTCCTTATCTGTACTAAAATCTTGCTTAAATTCAACAGTATTACTATGAAATAACCAAACACAAAAAATGTTCAACACTTTATACAACCTTTCCTACCGATAAAGACAACTGACAATATCAGAAATCACTGAAATATTGGATATATATTTCATTCGTCTTCTTCAGATTGATGATAAAATTTATTTACATTTCTATCTTTTATCTCCATTCTTACCCATACTTTAAGCATTTTTTTAATTAACAAATTCGACGAAAATGAATGTAGGACTGTGTCTGTCTATGTTGCAATTTCTATATGCTAAAGAAATTACAATTAAAGCTTCATGTTTAAAAATTTACTTGTTTTTTATTTTTATTTATTTATTTTTTTATTTATTGGTGGAAATACTTTACAATGTTTATATTTTTACGGCCGGTTTGACGCTTTGCATTAATTTTAACTAGTTCAGTGCTGGATTGAGCGAGATACGCCTCCTATTCATACAGGAAATGAGATGGAAACGATGGAACGACACAAACACATGTCTTGGACATCGTTTTAAACCTGGCATAAGAGGAATAAGTACGACTAGACTATTTATCAGCTGGTAGAGGCGCTTGAAAGACCAATGATATGACCACCAAATGAAAAGTCAAGAGTTTGCCGTCACAGTTGAAGTTCATGATCAAATTTGGGAAGTAGTCTGTTCAAAGATTCAATTTTCGCGATCTTTCGAAGCCTCTAATATTTCAAGAATAGGTACTTTGCTTACTAACTGAAAACCAAATGCAGAGTCGAAGTCTTGCGTAAATCATTTTTTTATATTCGAAAGAAATGGTGCACTATTTTTTTTTTTTTAGCTAATTCAGTGATTATTCAGAAACGACATCATTGTCGATGTATCGACGACAACAATCATGTAAGATTAATACGACTGAGAGGAAAATGTTATTTATAGAGATATTTTATTGTAGTTTATATGTTGTATTAAAAAAAATGTTGATAATGATGCATACCAATGTTAACCATCTGATATAAGTAAAACAAAACCTTTAGAAAATATTTCCGTTTTTTTTCTTTTTTTTCGGGGGGGGGGGGGGGGGGCTCGTATCATATTTGCCAAGAAGACTATAGAACTTGCGAAATGTTGACTTTAAAGGAGAATGTGAAAAGCCCTGTAACATAAACTTATTTGTTTATGGCATGTCTTGCTTAAAAAATTTATATTCATGCTCTTTGTAAGAGATAAAAACCATGTGCAGGTGTAAGTGGAATGTCACTACATAAATGGGAGAAGTTGATTAAGAAAACCTAACTAATGCAGTTTGTTGTACAGTTTAATTGTAAGCTGGTTATAAACGTCTTTAATTAGTAAAACATCTAAGTATGAAATATATGCGCCAGACTCTTTGTTGTCTTTTATTTGGAGTTCACGTAAATATATCGAGTCGACATATGAATTAAATTACTATTCTTTATTGATAATACGTCGTCTATATATCGAAATTAATTCACACAAATTCCAAAGATAGATATCAAATTTTGACAGTTTGTTTGTTTGCTTGATTTGATTAGGATTTCAGGCACAGTTTATTAAAAATCTACAAACTGGACAAATTACTTTGTAAATATGGATTTATAAGAAAGAAAAACTGAAAATCTGCTTGTGAACATAATTGTTACAAAAAAGCTTAACTTTTTCTCAGGTCTTATATAGAAAGTGCTTAGTACAGTGTACTTAACAAATGTGCATAGAACAAACAATCACTGTAATGGTTTTGTTTTTATATTTTGTATTTTATACCATTAGCTTCAAAGGAAATCATTTATCTTCCTGAGTAGGAGGTACTCAGGAAATTTTTTTGTGCCGATTAACAGTAAATGGGATGCATGCGAGATCTTGAGACGCAGAAAATAAACAAGGAACACACGTATACAAAAAAAATTCAGGATAAAACTTCATAAGACATACAAATCAATAACACCATAACCCCCCTCCCCCCCCCCCCCAAAAAAAAAAAAAAGAACGGAGAGATATCGGAAAATATTACTGAATCAGATGAAGTTAGGAATCCAATATTAAGAAGAAAAGGTTAATCTTTTTGAAGAAATGAACATGTAAATGTAGACAAAGGTAAATCAGTGCTCAATAATCCCTCTTCTTCGCAGGATTATTGTAATACTCGTAGATATGAAATAATACAGTAGAGAAAAAAATTAGAATTTTTTATGACAAACATTAAAATTTTGAGAATGTTATTTAAATTATTGAAATGCAGTATCACTAAACACACCTTATAAGAAAAAACTGTAGTATTCAGAAAAGAGTTATAAATGCCTTCATAATTATTTCAATAAACACAACCCAAAATCTCAGTTCTATTGTATATATATACAACATTCCATTTTTAAGATTTTTGGCACAAAATTGAAAGGCATCTGACAAGAAATGTTTGTTAAAGCTCTCTAACAAGCAGACGTAATGAAATAAATGAAGGAGGACGAAACAGCAATCCTCAGTTTGTGGTCCTAGGGCCGAAGCATAAAAAATATTCTTCTTGGTTTCAATTCTACCGGTTTCTGTGATACTAAAATCATCAAGTCGGAGGTCTGGGTATTCGTTTTCGTATAAAATTCGAACTTCCTCTTCAAAAAGCATCAATTTATTAATCTTTAAAATTGATCCATTAAAATGCTTATCAGTGATAAAAAGGAAGCTGACCAGTACATAAAGCAATTATGAGTAACATTCCACATCACTGGATGAAATGTGAAGATAACGAATAGTATTCAATTTCGGAAGTCCAATGAAATGATACAAATTTGAAGCAGAGCAAACAAGGACCTCAAAATTTAGAGGTGGGACCAAGTGCCATGATGGAGTGAGTATCCCCTGCGGACCGGTCACACCCGCCGTGTGCTCTTTGTCATGATAGGGTAATAACGGAGAAATCCGTAGACAGTTCAGTGTATAAATAATTGCCTAACAATTAGTATGAAAAACGTCAGTCAGCATTTGACTCAATGATAGGTTGTATGTGCTGAGTCATTGTATCAACCGTAAAATTTGCGAAAAGATGACTTCAAACGAGACTGTTGGTATCCTTGTTTAACCAACTTTTTGTCAATAGCTTGCCTCGTTTTAAAAATTGTTCATACGTAGAGCATGCTCTTGCGTATCGAATTAACTGAGAAACATAAACCGCCATATATGCAGGTGATAATGGTATATTGTTACATAAGAAAGGGAAGTTGACGATTGAAAAGTTGAAGTCATCACGTTTATCATAAAGCTTTGTTGTTAGGTTACCATTAACGTCTTTTTCTAGTAAAATATCTTAATATGAAACAGATGTGTCAGAATCTGTAGTATCTTTTATTTCAAGCTCACTGGGATATTTCGAGTCGACATATGAATTAAAGTAACTATTGTTAATTGATAATTCGTCGTCGATATATCGAAATGTCGAGTTGAAAGCCGCAGCAAGAGATTTTCTTCTTCTCATGTAGAAGTTTTTGAATAAATTCTGTTTTATATGAATACAAAAATAGGTCTGCTAATAAGGGGGCGCAATAGGTTCCAATGGGAATTCCAACAGATAGTTCGAAGACCTGATCTCCAAAATCTACATAGATATTGTCAATCAGAAACTCAAGCATCTTTTTCATATCAACTTCATTGTACTTGTGTGTAAAATCAGAGTGCTTTTTAACAAAATAATTCTGTAAATGACCAATGACAAGGTAAGTATATTTACGAGTTCCATTTTTATTGCAAAGGCAGCTGTCTATGATGTCAAAAAGCCTGGACTTCAATTTATCGTGGGGAATGGTTGTATAAAGTGTTGAAAAGTCGTATGTTTTGATGCTATTTATATTAGTAATATTTTGTGATTTCAAATTTTCCAAAAGTTCTTTTGAGTTTTTAAATATCCACATCTGATTTACACCACTTCTCAAATATACTGTTGTACAGTACCCCTGAAGTTATAGTAAATATTTTAGTGAGGAGTAAAGATGTGTTTGTATAAATTCGAAAGAACGAAGAGAAGGAAGAAAGTCTAATGTATAGAGCAAAAACAATATGTGGCAAACCTTAAATAGGGAGAAAAAAACATGTCAGTCTTGAAGGAATAATGAGCTATGATTATTCCCGTGATAAAAGTGAGTGATCTTGCAGAATGACAAAGATAAGATATCGATAACCTCGATCCTCAAAATACGAACTTGATATTTAAGTACATTCAGAATGGCAAAGATTTTGTTTCTCTTGCTTTTGGCCAATATTTTAGGTATGTTGTTTATATTTTTAATTGTTAAATCATTTCAGAATCAATTAACCTATCTGAAAAATCAAAAGGACGAGATTCTGAAACATGCTCTAGTACGGTATATATTTAACCCCCCCCCCCCCCCAGTCAGGTCAAAATAAATGACATCCTAATTAATGGACATTGCTGATTGTATTGAGAACTTCTGAACATATTTCGCTAGAAATGTAAAAGAAATTGTTCACTCTTTTATCTTATAAGTTTCTTAAGTATACGGTGGCGCTGTATCCGTTGTATTTCATTTGAGTGTAAGCCAAATATTACCATTATTGCTGTTTCAATATTTTACTGTTTACAGTGAATTAATATTTTCATGCTTTGTAGCTTAATCAAATAGCCTTTTAGTTGTCTGTTTTTTAGTTCCATACGTCCATTTCTCATTGACAACTTTTCTTCCTTTTTTTCAATTATAAGCTCTTCGAAAGATCTCATTAGTAAGGTGTCCGTTGTTCATCTATCTCTCTAGCTGCCCGTCTCTCTGTAAACAACTTCTCAAATCCCTATTTCTTCTACAGTTATGGTCCAATTTCAATATGACTTTGTACACAAGTAGGTTATACTAAGTCTTATAATTCTATGCATCGAATTTTGATTTGGACAAACGATACTGCCATTGTTACTTTTAATAAAAATTTCTTTGATATCCTTTCAAAATGCTCCTCCTCCTGATTCCAGTGAGACTTTAAACACTAGTAAACTATTCTAAGATACATTTTTCTAAATACATGTATCAGATTTTGATTTTGACTAGCGGTTTTGCCTTAGTAGCCAAAATAGAAATTTCTTTGATATTCTTTCAAAATGCCACTCTTCCTACAATTTTGGTTTGATTACAATAACACTTGGAACAGTAGACTTTTCCGAAATACATCATTCTATATATCGGTTTTTGCTTTCGAAAAACGGTTTGTCATAGTTAATATAAATAGAAATGAAACGGAAGTTGACTTTACAAAGATACATAATTCTACATATCGGTTTCTGAGTTGACATAGGGTGTTACCATGGAAACTAAAAATTGAAAATTCTGTAAAATTCTTTCAAAACGCTACTCCTCCTACAATTTTGGTCCGATGAAAATAAGACTTGGATCACAGATATGACTTTACTGACATACAATATCCTACATGTCTGCTTCTGATTTGACACCGGGTGCTGCTTTGGTTACTTAAAATAGAAATGTCTGTGAAATACTTTCAAAACGCTAATCCTTCTATTGTTTTGGTCCGATTTGTATCATAAATAAACTTTACAAAGACACATATTTCTGTAAATCAGTTATTGATTTCCATAAACTGTGTTTCCATAGTTACTTAATATAGAAAATTCTGAACAATTTTTTGAAATGCTAGCCCTCCTAGAGTTTAAATTTGATTTGAATGAGACTTGGTATTCACGTAGGCTATACTTAGTTTAATTATTCTTTTAATTTTTTTAAAGACCCAATTTTTTTACCGTACGGTTACCTGAGGAGGGGGAGTGGTCTTGGTAGTACTGATGTTATTTACCTGGAGAGCCCCAATACTCAAGATGTCAAAAATCCCTATACACGCTGCATTACACAGGAAGTCCGGCTTTTGATAATCAGGGTCAACATTACGCGTTTTGTGCATAATTTTGAGTTAAAATATTTAAAGAAATTATGTACTGAAATATAAAATTTGTAGACTTAGAGTTTTTGTCGATATCTTTTGAAGAAAAAAAATGAAAAAGACATATCTTTTTTTAAAATCGTAAAATTAAAAAAATAAACGCGTGAAAACTATAAAGCAATCATATCAATATTTTAATCGCCAATAAAAAGAAATTATTATAAAATATTAAGTGTGAATATTGAAATAGAAGATTCCACTTATTGTGTGGACATTTACCACGATCGGAATATTATTTACTTTTCTGGCGAACAATGGTGTCCAAATATTCGCCATTTCCGAAGGTCCGTGTACTTATGCCCTGTTTACGGGTTTGGATATAAGAAGAATCTTTCGTAATTCATGTCGTTAGATACAAGATACTTTATTTATATTAGTATAAATATCTTTTCTTATTTAATCCATTGCATTTTGTTATAATTTTCAAATGGTGGGGGAGGTGGTCGATCGCGATTGTTTCCAATTACGGCGAATTGAATTTCTGTGTACCCGAGTCCAAGGTCGACAAGGGCATTACTTGTACGTACATTCTTAAAATCAAGGCACATGTTGAATAAGGGGCTTCGAAGAATTATCGGTCTGTGCTGCTAAAGAAACTTTTTCTCTCTCCGAATCTCAGTTATTAAAGGAAGAGATGGCTTGAATATCCGCTAATTTTTCTTCTATAGTTCTCTTGGACGTCATATCGCTAACAAGTACAAAATAGCAGTGAAAATAGAAAAAAAAATCACGAAGTCACTGTTTTAATTGTCTACTCTCAATTATTTTTAAAAAATAAAATTATCAACCAATATAACAGCGATAAGATTTTTTTTAACCAGAGTGTATACATAGCGACCTTTCACGCGGTACATTAAAGTGTTTGACGCATGACGAAGTAATTGTTTTCAAGACATGCAAACTCAGATTATCAGGTTGCCGACGTAGCTGGCCCGTCAATCAAATCAGAAGCTATTGTTTTTTTTAATGATTGACAGGCGGTATACCATTGATCTCGAATTAGGTAGATTTTGGGGGCGTTAACATAAAATTGGGTGTTTAAGAATGGATATTGCATGTGTTGCTATAAATAGAATTATCTTTGAAATTCTTTCAAAACATTAATCCTTCTACAATTTTGGTCGTATTTCAAATAGCCTTGTTACACAAGTAGAATATACTAAGATATATTTCCTTTTATTAAATGTGCACAGCAGAAGAGCTACAGTGTCGCCAGAGACTTCTGGTTTTAAAAATTCCTTACGAGCCGTCTTGGACTTCAAAGGAAGACTAATATCAAAATATTTTTAGAGGTTTATAATTCAACATGAGAAGGAAAATCATCATTTATTTAATCTCTTTAATCTCTGAAATTCATTTTTAAGAAATAAAACGTTGACGATGGGAAATTTTAGATTACCATTTGGTTTTGTTCTTTACGGGGCTTTCACCTTAGAAATCGGTTTCAATTTTTAATTTAAACAAGAGGCCCAAGGGCCTTAACGGTCACCTGAGTATAATACAACAATTTAGAGGATCCATAGAGTATAAAATGAACTGAAAGGTGAAGCTTTGTTGCCCAAAAGCAAGAAAAATAGGGTGATCAGGATCAACAAAATAATTAATCTAGTGTTCATTAACAGTACATAAATTTAGGTTCTAATTATATAATCTGTTCCCCATTTATCACTCTCACCAGACAGTATATAAACAAACTTATAATCAGGGCTTCTGTACTCTTTTAATTCCTTGTTGAAATCTCTTACATTGGCCTCTCTTGGTCTTTGATGAACATTTAATAAGACAAGTTATTTTTGTCTCATTTTTATTTATCTGTTACTTACAAGTCTACCTGATCATTAAAACTATGAAAGTTCTTTTTGTATTATACAATAAAAATTCTTGCATAATTCTCTTTTTCTATTAACCTTTCAAGTACATTATTTACAGTGATTAATTATCACAAGTAAATGGCAAAGGGGAATAACTCCTCTCAGTAGAATACAAATTAATAGAGCCCTGGCTTGGACCAGAACACTTGATCAAATGGTTCTGATGTTCAAAAATCTGGTAAAAAAAACCCTTCCTTATTAAAACTTTTACTCTTTTTGCCTCTGATATGCCTAGGTGAAGAGAAGATTTTTAAAGCATTAATGCATTTTCACTATATAATAATTAGAGCCCTGCCCTAATATTAGAACCCCTGACCCTGGGGCTATGAATTTCACAATTTTGGTAGAGTCACCCTTGCTTATCATAGCTATGTACTTAATTTGTTTCAATAATACCCAGGAGAAGAAGATTTTCAAAGAAATAATGCACTTTCATTATATGATCTATATAGCCCCGCTTTAGCATTAGAACTCCTGACCCTGGGGCTATGAATTTCACAATTTTGGTAGAGTCACTCTTGCTTATCATAACTATGTATTCAATTTGTTTAAATAATACCCAGGAGTAGAGAAGAAGATTTTCAAAGAAATAATACACTTTCAGTATATGATCTATATAGCCCCGCCCTAGCACCAGGACCCCTGACCCTGGGGCTATGAATTTCACAATTTTGGTAGAGTCACTCTTGTTTATCATTACTATGTATTTAATTGTTTCAATAATACCCAGGAGTAGAGAAGAAGTTTTTCAAAGAAATAATGCACTTTCACTATATGATCTATATAGCCCCGCCCTAGCATCAGAACTCCTGACCCTGGGGCTATGAATTTCACAATTTTGGTAGAGTCACTCTTGCTTATTATAACTATGTATTCAATTTGTTTCAATTGTACCCAGGAGTAGAGAAGAAGATTTTCAAAGAAATAATGCACTTTCATTATATGATCTATATAGCCCCGCTCTAGCACCAGAACCCCTGACCCTGGGGCCGTGAATTTCACAATTTTGGTAGAGTCACTCTTGCTTATCATAACTATGTCTTCAATTTGTATCAATAATACCCAGGAGTAGAGAAGAAGATTTTTTAAGAAATAATACACTTTCATTATATGATCTATATAGCCCCGCCCTAGCACCAGAACCCCTGACCCTGGGGCTATGAATTTCACAATTTTGGTAGAGTCACTCTTGCTTATCATAACTATGTATTCAATTTGTTTCAATAATACCCAGGAGTAGAGAAAAAGATTTTCAAAGAAATAATGCACTTTCACTATATGATCTATATAGCCCCTCCCTAGCACCAGAACCCCTGACCCTGGGGCCATGAATTTCACAATTTTGGTAGAGGGCTCAATGCTTATTACAATCATGCCAACAGTTTGACTGCTTGATGTCCAGGAGTAAAGAAGAAGATTTTTAAAGATTGCATTAATTTTGATGGTTTTGGCCCCACCCCTCAGGCCCCAGGGGGGCAGGGGCCACGAATTTTACAATTTTTGTTCCCCTTCACCCATAGATGCTATATGCCAAAATTGGTTGAAATTGGTTTGCTGGTTCCAGAGAAGAAGCTGAAAATGTTCAAAAGTTTACGACCGACGGACGACGGACGACACACGACGACGGACGAAAAGAGATAGCAATAGGTCACCTGAGTGACTCAGGTGACCTAAAAACCGTTAAATATATGCAAATGTTGAGTATTGCTTTCTTCTTTAGTGTTAAAATGATAGGTTACATCTGTCTTTGAAAAATATTTCATTTTTAAATCAAATAAGTAAAATATCAATTAAAATCCACATTTTATGTGTACGCCCTAATATGTCATTTACTTTGCTATCAGAAAAAGAAAGAAAAAATAAATATTTAGCAAATTCAACAGAAAAAGTGGATAATTATTTGAAAGAAATCATTGGTGAAGAAAATTTAGCACGTTAGCAATGTATTCATAATTTACTTGAGGTATCTATCTTAGCATGAAAGAAATGTGTTCTTACGAAAGTATGAGCAAAATTATTAGGAAAGATATCAACTCATAACAATAGATCTCTCAAAAAGTGATCATGTGGTATTACTCCTACGGAGAAATAAATGTCACAAGTCACAAGTAATTTTACTCTATATCATGTCATCACAAATCAGGTATTAAATCTAAAGCATAATATATATGCCTGCATATGATTAGTACATGTACAGTACCGACCAGACACAACCTAACAGAAAGCGAACCCAGAGCGCACCCCGGGTTCGCTCTCTGGGTTCGCTTCGGGTTCGCTTGGGGTCCGCTAGTGCTGACCCCGAGCGAACCCGGAGCGCACCCGTAGCGAACCCGCAGCGAACCCAGAGCGGACCCAGAGCGAACGCTGAAAGCGAACCCCAAATTCAGTAGCGGTCCCAGAAAGCGAACGCGCGTTCGGTGTTGCGTAACAGAGCTGTCAATCAGGATTAGCGATTAAATCATCAGCGCGTCCACCAATCAACATGCCGAACAGGTCTGTCAATCAGGATAAGTGATAAAATGCGTTGACCATCAGCGCATCGAACAGACAACATGCCAGTTTGTAATCTAAACATTGTACAAGCAAAGCGTGTGAATGTACAATGTAAAAATATTATTAATATGATTTTTAAACATGATTTTACATTTATATATTTTAATTCTCCAGACAAAATGCAATATTTACACATCTATTTTCATTATTTTTTATCTTTAAAATCTATTAATACCTTATATATTTTATTATCCAGGTAGCATGTTACATGTATCGTTACACATTTATTTTCTTTATATTTTTAAAATCCATTAATATACATGTATAAATATACATTGCATAAATTTATCAGACAATAAGTACTTTAATTCATAATAGAAAAAAGAAGATAATAATGGTTATAACAATTGTTACTAAAAAAAAAAAAAGAATTAAAAAAAACTGGTCTTCGATAAATTATAGAATTTTATTATTTCAAGATACAGTATAAGAATATGTACGTGCTTTAATTTAATTATTTTTTATTTATTATTTCAATTTACATGCACGTTTTAATTTATCCAGATCAACATCGAAATTATCGATCTTAATAATTGATCATAAAAAAAAAATAAAAATAAATGTACATTGTACAGTATAAATGTGCATTATGTCAATACGTAAATTGGAGAATAAAATCTCATTTTTTAACTACTGTGATATTTTTTAATTAATCTTTTACCAAAATTTAGTAAATAGCTTGATTTAAATACATGTATATGTATATAGGGAAAGATTATTTTGTCAATTCTAATTATCCTACATGTAGACCTTACATTGTATGTTTTTGAATTTTTGTAACTACTTGCAAGTCAAAAAAAAAAAAACAAACAAACAAACAAGCAAACAAAAACGCAAAAATGCTTATCATTTTCCTTCGCGTCCATATATATATATATATATATATATATATATATATATATATATATATATATATATATATATATATATATATATATATATATATATATATATATATATATATATATACAGGTTTACATGTTCACGAACCTCTTACATGTACAACATGTAATTTTCGAAAGACTTTATATGGATATAAAAAAAAAATACTTGACGTGTACGTTTTGTACTTGTGCATGAAAAGTACACGTAATTCCAACATTTGTAAATTGAACTTGCAATGATACCTTAATACGAAACGTACATATATTTTTTTCATTACATAGGTATCTGTATTTTAACTTTGAAATTGTCATAATTATTTAATTTTACATGTAACACTTTAATAATTATAGTTTCAAAGTGAAGCCAAGGTCATCAAGTGTCGGTAATCATCCACCTGTTTCGAATATATTGCGGGTGCTAAGAGCAATTGCGGTGGGGTTTTTTTAATTGACACTTGCTAGCTGGATGTATACTGTCTCCATGGTCACGGTATACCTGAGTATATTTTCCCCCTACATTCGATGCCCCTTAAGTTACATGTACCTCGTCTGGGCACGTTATCAATGAGAAATTCAATTATTATTCTTATTTTTTTTTAATTTGGAAACGTCATAGTTCTTTAGTACGTTGCATGTAATTTGCTGCCACCTTAATGCTGAAAATCAGTAAAACAGGTTTACGAGAGAGAGAGAGAGAGAGAGAGAGAGAGAGAGAGAGCACTGTATATTATTTGAAATTAAAATCGCTACAACCGGCCTATAGAAAACAATTCGAGTACGGAGAGGGGTGGGGGGGGGGGGGGCTCATCGAAATAAAACAATAAAAAAAAATCGGGCGTTATTATCTTAATTTCATCTACTTAATCATGCGAGTTTACAGTTATTGAATTCTTATTTTGTTTGTTTTCTTTTTGTTTTTATTTATTTTTAAACATTTAGAATTTTGTTTGTTAACTTGCCGCTCCAGTATGTACATGTATGTAGTGGGGCGGGGGGAGGGGGGATCATGAACCAGTAAGGAACACAAACTATTCAAATGATCATTTACATATATTTGAAAACAACTTTAAAAAATAATATATTCTTATCAGTGGACCAGTTATTAGTTCTTGTTTGTTTGTTTGTTTTGTTTTTTCGATTGTTGTTTTTTTTTAATAAGTCTTCCGTTAAACTCGCCTTATAAAAATGATTTATAGCATGGAAGTGAATTATAAATGATCTGTAAAACGAAACTCAATAAAAATTAAAATAATTTTTTACACTGTATGAGAATTTTTAGTGATTATCACGACCTACATATACATGTAATGGACGACAACCTAGCTTAAATGTAAAGTGCTAAATATGAAAACTTACCATTTTACGTGTACAGTATGTCTCAGCTATTTCAAAGATAAGATCATAATTCAGTTGTTTGTCTTTCAAACATTTAAATTACGATTTAGCAATTGCAATTACAATTGGAAGTTCCAACTTATTTTGAAACGCATGAATAATGGAAACAAATGAATTTGAAAGCTTTTTTTATTAAGATACTCTTATCAATTTCACTTCATCCGATACATCGAAAATAAATTTAACACCTTTTCTTCTTTTTCTTTCGAGATATACTTAGCTTGTAAGTTAAGAGAAATAAAAGTGATAATTCTACGTCGAATGTACGGTGAAATTCTTGAAAATTTATCAACGTTCTCCATATTGTCACTTACATGTACATGTTTCGATCGCCACAAAAACAGTAATGATCGATTTCACTACTGTATTTGGAATATACAAGGGGCGGGGCTTACTGGCGGTAAGATTAAAGCGGGGTCCGCTTCACGCATGAGTGCGTAAAGCGAACCCGGAAAGCGAACGCCGGGTTCACTCTAGCGGACCCAGAGCTGACCCCGAGCGAACGCAGAGCGAACCCGAAGCGCACCTAGAGCGGTCCCAAATTTTCTGAAAGCGGACCCGCAGCGGACCCCGAGCGAACCCAGGAAGCGAACCCGGGGTGTGCTTTGGATTCGCTCTGGTGTTAGGTTGTGTCCGGTCGGTACTGTATATAGATGGATCATCTCCAATAACAGATCATTTTGAGTTATCATCAGATTAAAATGTACCTTTTAATCATTTCTACACACTTATGTACAAATCTTAAATTACTCTTGATGTTTAGTTCGTTCTCTTCTTTCAGCACTATGCTATATGCAACTGATTACCCCAATGATGGCGTGTGGAATGAAGTGCCTTCAGGATAAAAACGCTACAAGAGTTCTGTACGACAGTGAAGAGGCCAAGGAATGCAGGGAATACTGTCTGCATCATGCGTGCGTTTTATTCAAAATAAAGAATCTATTAGTATTTTAATGATAAGAAATTTCCCGGTCTTCAGCTTATCTTTTGAAAATTTCTAAGAACAAAAAGCAGCCAAAATTTACGACTTTAAAATGTTATAAGAATACAAGCTTATTATTTCAAACCTTTCATGCAATATCATTTTCTTCTAGCTACGATTTCTTACACCAACTTGGGTAAAATTGCAGAGACGATGTTCGAATCGACAAACTTAATAATAAATCTTGAAAATTATTATTTATTGATTATTTTTTTCAAATGAACGTCGAAATTTTTCGTCTAATGAAAAGTGGTTTTTCATACATTTGATGCAAGTGTGGTTTTAATTTATATATAATTTCTAACCTGTGTAACATTCCCGAATTATCTTGGGAGATTTATAACCATTTTATACCAACAATATGTGATATATTGTAATCATGAGTCTTTTTCTGTCCTTTTGGAAGAGGAAGTTTAAAATAGGTCTAATTTGAAATTAAAATATTTCAGGGGAAAAAAGAATATTTAACCACAGGGCCTGAGATTTTAGCATTATATTCTTGTGAATGTTGAAAGCATGTCTTCTTACAAGGGAGAAATCATTGTTTGATGCAAAACAAATTTATATATGATGATGCAATAAAGTTATAATACAGATGTCATTCTCAAGTGATATTTTTGATTTTGAGGTTAGATTGTTAAGAAAATGAACTTTGAACTCAAAAAGGACTGTTTTTTTCCTTAACTTTTGGTCAAAGTTATTCAAAGATGCAGGAAAAAACGAAGGAAAAGTAGAAAGATTTCCGTAATTAAATCAACAAAATTTAAATGATTTAGAAAAGACTTATCGCAGAAAACGGAGCAGAACTGTAAATGGGCAGTGACTGTGTTCTTTAACTGACAGAGGGAATGTAACTACAATAACCACAGTCCCCAATGTTGATGTTTTCATGCTAAAGGACGTTAAGGTGTTGAGTGATAAAGAAATCAACAAATTTATTAGTTTTTTGTCGCTAGTCAAAAACGAATCGGAAAAAGAGCCAAAGACTATTGACCAAACTCCCCTTGCATTCCTTTAATAGAAGAAAAGAAGGATATGCTCCTAAAGAAAGTAAGCAAAGTTATCCAAAGAGCTAGTTATAAGGAAGATGAAGATACTGATCCTTGCCAGGAAGGCATTAAAATGAGAAGTAATTTTTCCCGCTTATGATGTTGTTGCAAGTTACATTTTACTCGAATTCGGAGATATTTCCTTCAAATTTAAGTTATGACATTCATTTTGAGTTGGAGTATACATTTCAATATCTATTGGAAAAAATACAAAGTTTCAGTCTATGTTTCTGTGACTAGGAATACATATTTCATTGTGAAACATGTTAGATTCATTGCTTGAAAAAATTATTGAATCTTTGATGTGTTTTCTTAATCCAGTAACTTACCTGTAACTATCCAAAAAGTTATTAAATATACTCCATGATTTCTAATAATGGACAGATTTCTTTTTTAACTTACTGGACAGTTACATGTAACTCAATGGTCTATCTTGTGCCTTTCAAGAACAAGAAAGTATTAAAAGAACAAAAGTTGATGTTGTCATAATAATGTTTTAAGTCTAAAACGACACAGTCACTTAACGATTAAATTTTTCCTCTTAAACATTGCGGGGTTTTTTTTTATTATTTTTTTAAATTTTTTTTAGGATCACGAGACATATTTTGATTTTCAAAAAAAAACACCAACAAGTAAAAGATGCTGCAGTTGGTAAAAAAAAAATCATTACAGTAAAATGTTCGTGTTTACATGTACTGTATAGTATACTTATAGTGCGTAGTCTTCTTACATGTGCGTTTATGCAACAGACCGTTTATTATGTAAGCAAAAGGTCTAAGTTATGGGGGAAAAGTATTTTTCTACAATGACATTTTACTTTTTAATCAAAGATGTTATCTGGAAAGAGAGAGAGAGAGTATCTGGGTGTTAAAGACTTCACAAATTATCCACTTATATTTCCCAATTATGCAAAAAAGAACAAGCATTAAACACCACGTTTGACCTTAAGTGCAATGTATTTATTATTTTGGTAAAAAAATAATTAAGTAAACAGTTAGATGAAGTGATTTAGGAGAAAGAGTGAAACTCAGAAGTATTTCCGGAGGCTGACACATCGCATGCGCGGGGCAGGTTTGTGGTTAAACGGAAGTACTTCCATTAATTGGTGCCTCTGTTTCACCATAAACTATAAACTATACCAGAATTCCTTTACGCAATTTCTAAATATCAGATTATACACTAAAGCACGGAAGTGTACCTCTCTGAAAGAGCCAAATTTTCTTGAATAAGATTAAGGGGGGCAAATTGTACTGTCTATCCTGAAATGGAATAGGTGAATAATTATCGCGCCTTGTCCGGCCATTCTCCCACAACAAGCAAAAAATGCACATTTTAGTCATCCATCTATTATGTATGATTTGCATCAAATAAGACATTACTTCATGGATCATATACATGTATTTGTAAAACAAAGAAGACGAAACTTTATGAAGATTTTTTTTTTCATTTTTATTTGATAGTTGGTGTTTCAAATTTCACTTTTTCACAATTTTTACTAAAATAAATGTACATAACATTTGTGCAATTTACAAATAAACTATTCATCTAGATGATATTTCGGTATTGTTGATGTATCAAGTTTTGTAAACATCTTCATTTTTTTCAAAACTAATTATATTCCACATAATCACAGCTTCCTTTACACCAATCAGGTCACGTTGTGCCTCTTCTACATAGAACTTCTGACAGCCGGTTAGCAAATTTGTGACAGTTGTTAGACAAGAGACTGTAATTACCATACGTACATCTGTAATTTTGGCACAACCCTCAATACAGTCGAAGCTTAATTCGCTGTATCCTGTTGGGGATTTTTTCTTTGCCCCGGGACACACATTTCCGCTTAACCGACTCTTAGTAATTGATACTTTCTAATTTGCTGAATTGAAAAAGAAATCCAACATTAAGATTTTTTTAATTTTCATTTATCTTTTTATCTTCACAATGAAAATTTGAGTTTTCTTTCTGTTTTCATTTAAAAAAAAATAACTTAGCATTCTCTCTCTCTCTCTCTCTCTCTCTCTCTCTCTCTCTCTCTTTTGAATAGTTTTCACAAAATTCATTACAAGTATATATATGAAATTATTTTAGCTATAAATTATATAGATCTGCATTAAGATTTAATTTACACAAAGCTTCACGAAATGAATCATTTAAAAAAAATATTTTTACGATCGACAAATAAACTAGTTACCTTGATAAAGTAAATAAAAATATTTTTAACAAATGGACATTGTTCATACGTACTTACTTTGAAAATCATAATAGTATCCTTTGTATTCTGTATTAATCGGTGAGTGGGGCTATAAGTCCATCTCGAAGATGCACTTCGTTTGCCTTTGCTATGTTGGTAGATGCAACGGAGATGTGTCGTCCCAAAATAATACCGGTGAGCGCCATCTATTTTTAGAAAACATGTACATTGTACTAAAATTGTGTGAAGAATTTGCCTAAATAATCAATGGTCAACTCAAAAAAAAAGAGAAAGAAATGATTTTTTGACGCATAGCTATCATTTTTATTCCGCCGAAATATGGCTGAAATATGGCCGACTAGGACTTAAGCAATGAACAATCAATCAATCAATCTAATCAAACACTCTATTTTTTAAATTTGAATGTGAAAGAAATATAGTCAAAATTTTTTGTATGGATTTTTTTTCTTCTGTAGTCAAAGTTTTTGTGATTATCAAGTAAGTTTCCACACCCAAACTTCTTTAATGGCAATTAAATGTAGTTCCTTTGACATATGGTTTCGGCATTATAAGACCAATATCAGCTCTTCATAATTTTTGTATGATTTTTTTTTTTTGCGGGGGGGTGGGGTGGGGTGTGTGTGTATTTTTAGAAAAATAATTAGTATTGTTTTGATTGAAAGTAAGACATTTTTTAAATCTTGCTGTTGATTAATGCATAATATAAATATTTAATGAAAAATTGCAACAGGAGGTAGGTCGACATTTTACTTTATTTAATACAAATTCTTTATCAGTATAATCAGTATTCGTTAATATTTATTTAAATTCTATCGATAGAATTAAAAGACCCTTTTTTTACTTTTAGAGAAAGAAAATTTGATGATTAAAAAAATGGAATATTGAAATTTAATGGGAAAAAAGGCTTATCATAAAATTTGCACTAAGCCCGACTGAGAATTAAATCGATCCCAATAAATATTAATGCAAAATAAAATATCAACAAATTACCGTCCGATCCAATAGCCAGGGGAAGACCAGTTTATGTTCAATTGATTTCAAAACTACATTACAAGCATGGAATTTAAAATTTTTGTGAAATTGGTTAACTTTTTCACCTTAAATATACTGAAGTCGAAATCAGTATAATTTCAATCGGGAAAGGTTTAAATTTTAAATTGACTTTTGTTTTAAATTTCACTATTTCATTTCAAAATATGGTTTTCTAGTATTTCCTCACTATAATAAAACAGTTCTTTTTAAGATTTTAATTTTAAGAATATCAATTAATACTGATTGACATAGTTATAAATAGTTTTTTATTACATAAACTAAATTATCATTAATTAACTGAAAATTTTAAGCTCCTGTTTCTTATCTGCGATCGAAATAATTTTTTTAATTTTCACTGAAAAAAATAAAATCATATAAAACTAGAGCTTATAATGATCTTTCACTAGTAATTCTGAGTTCAATTGTTAAAAAAGGAAACTTTAAGAATCCATCAAATAAACCTTTGGTGTGGCATACCACCCTTTTAGATGCAAATTTAAATTATCACCGTAAAGGTGCATTTAAATAAATGGGCACTGAAACAAAATTACAGGTATTTGACAATATTTGTTTCCAAATTTGAGGAAACAAAATACCAATACTATTGTCATTTGTAGACATGAAATTCAACAAAGATTGGGACACAACCTCTTAAACAGTTCCAGTGTAAGGCTTTTGGCCCTCGTCGAAGACAACATCAGGTGAGAGATTTGCAACCAAGCGTTAATGATAATACACACATCAATACATCAACACACGAAATATTATATTTGCAAACCAAAATTTTTCAGCTTCCTCTTGATACCAGTAAAATTTACCTCGGTTTTCCTTTAAAGACAAAAGCTCAATCTTTAAGTTTGACATTTTTGATAAA